GTTAATCTGTATCATATGATGTTCGTAAATTAAAGGTATTTTTACAATCTCTGTGTTCAGAAGTAAATAACCGTTATTTGAAGTGATAGGTGTAATACTCATTTGTTGAGCTGTTGTCGATGTTTGTCCACGTCATTATCATGATCATTTTCAAAATCAGAGTCAGTATTGTCAGATTCCCTGGAATGATTAGAGAGATTTTGCGCTTTAGCTTTTTTAAAGTTACTTATGTATGTGCTTTATTACTTTATGACCTCTATTAGTTTCTTGCCAATGCTTTTCGTCTTTCTGTTCTAATGCTCCTGTCTTTTTGAATGGGTTTACTAATTTCGCTTTACGTTTCATATCTTTTTCAACTTTGGTATATCCAAGATCCACTTCATGTTCCTCACGATTTTTATTTATTTTATCTATTTTATGTTCTTTTTGTTGTTGCATATTTTTACTCGGTTCCATACCATAAAGAAAGATTTGAGCAGGGGTTTTACCAGTGGCATCATGGGTTATTTCGTGATTGTAGACATACGTTGCTTTTTCTATATTCATTAATTTATCTTCAGCATCAGAGTGTGTATTTATGATTATAAGTTTTTCGTTAATTGTTTTATGAACCCTTTCTATGTCAGCTATACCGTTTTTAATACTAGTGATTTCAATATTAATATTTTCTTTCTGTAGCCAGTTTTGTAAAGATTTCGATACTAGGCCGGGATCTTGATCCATTTTAATAGTTTTCGGTTTACCTATCATACAAAAAATTTTGAGTAATGCTTTTTAATTTCAATCCAGTCTGTGGTTTTTGTTTCTATAATGGAAATGAATTTTGAATAAATGTCAATACATGTCAAAAATTTACGTTGGTCAATAAAATATAGTCAATAACATATTTATCACGAATATTTTGAGTTTCAGAAGTCTTTTCAAAAGGGAATGCAACTTTTCTGTGCTCTGCTTTGCATAAATTACAGGCCTCGCAATTATTTATAATGTTTTGAATAAGTTTTTGTGCGTCTGGGAAATAATATTTAGTTTTAAAATCGTCATACGTCTTTTTAATGCCTTGGTGTATCGTCTTTTCGTGTATTTCTAATATTTTTTCGTGGAAGTTTGCATATGTGGACAAGTTGGGAAGTATTACTGAAGTTTTCATTAATTTTGTACCAGTGTTTGGTTTAATTAAATCCATATAGGCTCGTTGAAAGATAGCAAAGTCTTCGTCATTATTAATGAACATAACAAAATTGTGTCCACATATGAATGTGTCCACATTATGAATGCATAATTGCTTGCATCTGTAGTTAAATCAAACTTTTTTTTCGAAATCCGGATATGTGAGAATTGGGTCGTTACTTATTAGAGTTTTTAATTTTTCAAATGCTTCGTTATAAGTGGGATCTTTAACATTTATTTTGGCTCCTTTCTTTAAACAAAGAGTCATTGGTTTTGCGATTTTTGCGAAGTTTTTTATGAATTTGCGATAAAATCCGCAAAGGCCTAAAAACGATTTTATTTGTTTCGGAGAGTTGGAATTTTAAAATCTTGAATAGCTTGAATCTTATTTGGATTATCATAGTGACCTTTCTTGGTGGACAATGCAGTTTTTTGTATAGATCCTTGGTCCATTTCAATTTGATGGAATCCTTTAGCTAGGTCTAATGTTGTAAAGTATTGAGATTTACCTAATTTATCTAATATTTCATCCATGTTTGGAATAGGAAATTTGTCAATTATGGTTATTTCATTGAGTCCTCTGTAATCAATGGCCATACGAAATTTGGGAATGCCCGATGCATCCTTTTTCTTTGGTACCATTACAATAGGACTACAATAAGGAGATTTTGATTTTCTGATAATACCTTGATTTATCATTTCCTCAATTTGTTTTTCTACTTCTGTGTCATAAATGTACGGATAACTATATGGTCTCCTATAAATCGGTTCTTTATGTTTTGTCTTTATTATGTTTAGGTCTAATGTTGTAAAGTATTGAGATTTACCTAATTTATCTAATATTTCATCCATGTTTGGAATAGGAAATTTGTCAATTATGGTTATTTCATTGAGTCCTCTGTAATCAATGGCCATACGAAATTTGGGAATGCCCGATGCATCCTTTTTCTTTGGTACCATTACAATAGGACTACAATAAGGAGATTTTGATTTTCTGATAATACCTTGATTTATCATTTCCTCAATTTGTTTTTCTACTTCTGTGTCATAAATGTACGGATAACTATATGGTCTCCTATAAATCGGTTCTTTATGTTTTGTCTTTATTATGTGTTTGATGTCGTTCGTGAAAGTCAAATTGTCACCTTCGCGATACTGAATATCAAAATACTTGGACATTAAATAATGAAGTTCAGTTTTTTCTCCTTATTTAAGTGAGACGATCACTAAATAATTATTTGTTAAGTCTGTTTGCATGGCATAAATATATTCGTCATCGTTTGTTATACTGGAAAAGGTTTGATTACGTTCCTCTGTTATATTTATTATTGGGAATTCGTAATTATTTAGAATAATAGTGTTTCTCATGAAATCAATTTTGGCTGAGGTTTCTTTTACAATTTTTCTTCCTATAAGAATATCATAATGATTTGAAAAATTTAAAAAAAAAAATGTTTGCTTGGAGGAAAACAATTTTGGGATGCTAAATTCGATATATTTTTCTAAAGTTACAGATTCTCCTATCGTTTGGACTTTTGTCAAAATATTTTTAGTTGGATATTTCAAAAAGTTTTCGTTTACCAATTTATGCTTGAGCCTGTATCAATAAGACAAAGGCATAGTTTGTTATCAATTTTAATTTTTATTGCGGTGGTGTTTCTTCCGAGGCTGTTGTCTGAAAATTTTCAATTGTGTCCATTGGCTCTACGTTCTACGTTGTTGACCTGAGTCTGAAATTCGGGCACGTTTTTGGGGAATATTAGTACTTTGAGTAGTCTGGGCATTTTGTACTTGATTATTTTGAAAAGATCTAGGATACTATTGATTGCCAGAAGAATTATTATTATAACTGCTATTATTCCCCAGTTCCTATTTGAGTCGAACTTGTTCTGTCTCTGTTGATTGTTGTTATATCGATTTTGGTAGTTATTATTTTGGATTCATTGACTGACTGATTATTTGGGTTAAAGTTTCTTGCTGATCTAAAGTATGGATATTCGTCGTCATCATTAGAGTTTTGGGATGTATACGAGCGGGTATTTAAAGGTTTATCTACAAACAATCCTACAGCTTGGGCAGCTTGTTTTAATTTAAGAGGAGTTGATATATCAAATTTGCTTAACGTAATATATGTTTGTACTGGCAATTTTTCGCGAATCACTTCAGCTAATGTATCATTCAAAGTTCTTGAAACTGAAACCGTGTTTGATGGATTGTTATCTAAGCTGAGTTTACAACATATTCTACTTGTTTGTTCTTCTAATTCTTCGACAAATCTACGTAAATTATTTTTGTATTTAGTCTCATGTTATTCCATAATCATCCGATGTGGAGGTGTTGCGCTGTTGTATTCACTGATAAGTAAAGTCCTTAATTCCTTCCAGTCCTGTGGTATATTTCTCATCAACAATGTTCGGGCTCGTCCTATTAGAAGGTTTCGGATGGCTGCTTGTATAATTTGATGTTGGGCTTCTGATGTTGTCGGATAATGGTAAACTCGTTCGTCAACTTCCTTTATGAAGAGAGCCAAGTAGAGTGGGTCTTCATTAAATTTGTTTATCTGCTTATGTTGCAGAAGAAAATGGTTCATGGCCACGTCTGTAAGAATTTGTGTTGCTTTTGCGGCTGTGGCTGCGGCTGATGTTGATGGCATTTCTATTTTTACAGTTTAATAAAAATTTTTTTTTTTTTTTAATTTTTAAAAAAAATGTTGTTTACATGAAATATATCAGTTATTAGATTTATTATCGCTGAATTTAGACATTAGAAATCCTCATTCGTGATTTGACTAATGTTGTTGTTTTATTTTCGCAATATTTTAAGTAAGTTCGTTTTGCGGATACAAATAAATTTATTTTCACGAAGTGATTTTTTGAAGTCCATTTTAGGTAGTCACTCGCGAGGATATTACTTGTATCCTACCGGCTGCGCCAATTAGATTTTTTACTTTGCGATATATTAAAAAAAGCGATTTTTATTTTAATATACAGTGGAGTTTTATTGGTAATGTCTTAATAGTTAGATTCCCAAAATTGAACTGTATTTTTAATTGCATTATTCCTATAACTATGGCTTTTATCGGTGACAGCGACGCTAGCAGCGAAAGTGGACTTCGATCAGAAGATTTCTATTGGTCGAATTGGTGGCCTGATGGGTGGGTTGTCAGACTGCATCTTTTGTTTATTAAATTTGGATTGGTCAAAGCTTTTATGCTGATGAATGGGTTCTCATGCTGGACCCTTTGTTTAAAAGTTTACCACTTGTTTATGTCTGCTGTCGTCGGTAAAGGCGTGTGAAATGTTTATAATAAGGGGACTGTTGATAACAGGCGTGGGTAATGTTTATGTCTGATTAATTTGAATAACTCCTATAGTAGGCTCTGAAATGTTATGTTTGACAAATGAATTAATGGGTATCTCGGGATATACAGGTTGGGTGTTATGTTTGACAATTGAAGTAATGGGTATCTCGGGATATACAGGCTGGGTGTTAGGCTTGATGTCTGGAGTATTTGGTAATACGTCACTTATATGTATATATACATATACATATGCAAAAATCTAACAAAAATATATTTTTTTTAAATTCTATTTTAATATTAGATTTTTCTCTATCTTTAAACCACTTATGCGATGGGGTGAAAATAAAATTTTAAACTAGCCTTTTTGAATAAGCCGCTAGCCAAAAACTTCTTTGTTCTTTAACTATCTTTATCCCTTGTATTAATCTTACCTTACAGTTCTGCCTAGGAAAGATAAACTTTTTTGAACACGATATTGTTAATATTTAAATTCTTATTGTAATCTACCATTATTGTTTTTTTTACATAGCCTGTCGCCGAAGTGCCGTTCCGGATTAATATGGAAAACGATGACATTTCTCGAGACGCCTTAAAATCATTGATTTTTGAAGAAACTTTAAAATTTAAAGAGCTACAACCAGAAGGAGCGCTTTAAAAAAACTTAGTATTTAAGCAGAAAGCCATTCTAGCTTTTGCTTAGCAAAAACCATAATTACCCGCACTTTGTAATTGCCTGTAATTTCTTTATAATAATAATAATAATAATAATAATAATAATAATAATAATAATAATAATAATAATAATAATAACAATAATAATAACAATAATAATAATAATAATAATAATAATAATAATAATAATAATAATAATAATAATAATAATAATAATAATAATAATAATAATAATAATAATAATAATAATAATAATAATAATCATAATCATAATCATAATCATAATCATAATCATAATCATAATCATAATCATAATCATAATCATAATCATAATCATAATCATAATCATAATCATAATCATAATCATAATCATAATCATAATCATAATCATAATCATAATCATAATCATAATCATAATCATAATCATAATCATAATCATAATCATAATCATAATCATAATCATAATCATAATCATAATCATAATCATAATCATAATCATAATCATAATCATAATCATAATCATAATCATAATCATAATCATAATCATAATCATAATCATAATCATAATCATAATCATAATCATAATCATAATCATAATCATAATCATAATCATAATCATAATCATAATCATAATCATAATCATAATCATAATCATAATCATAATCATAATCATAATCATAATCATAATCATAATCATAATCATAATCATAATCATAATCATAATCATAATCATAATCATAATCATAATCATAATCATAATCATAATCATAATCATAATCATAATCATAATCATAATCATAATCATAATCATAATCATAATCATAATCAAACAAACTTGGAATTTAGTTACTGCAGTTAACTAAGGGTCGTTTTTTGATAACCATTCAGTTTTTATATTAGCGAAAATAAAGGTCTAAACTGCAGAATATATAATTGACCAAAATTAGAAAATATAAAACATGAACTTTATGTTCGTCTTTTTGTCGTGTTCTAAAAATTCCACAAAAATTGTCCCCTGCCGTTTCTTATAGACTGTATATAAAATATATTTGTTTGCGTAGCTATAAATAAAAGCAACATTATTGTAAAGTTTAGAAAACGACCCTTAGTCTTTAAAACAAAAACAAACAAAAAATTTGTTGATTTACCTATTACATGTAATTGTTTCGTAATAATCTTAATCAGTTTTAAAAAACGAAATTAATATAAGAATACAGGCCAGGAACAAATTTTAAACCAATTAAAAAAATTCTTATTAAATCTGGTAAATAAAAACAAATTATTTTGCTTAAATTAGATACCTATCATAACTTTATTCTTAACATGTATAACAAACATTTTTATTAAACTAATTGTATAATTATGCATTCTTTGAAATAATTTCGTTTACAGAAATAATATATCGCACTATGCAAGCCCAGCCCTGCGTGTAAAACTACAAAACAGCAACGAAATTAGTTTTAAAGCAAAGATAAATTAGGTTCAGAAATTCTTTATATAATATTTAATATAAGCAATTACTATTGATTAAATATTTAGATATGTACGTGGACAGTCATAGTTTTAATTAATGAATAGTGTGAAAATAATAATAACATAAATTATCTGGTGCATTCCATTTATTAACTGCAGGATGGTTTTCGTTTTTTGGTTGGCATAAGCTATTAAAAAAAGTGGACCAACGGATCCAAGCACGAGTCCTTATAGAAATGTGGGCAAACATCAAGTTCGCTAGGAAAATAGAAATTACATAATATAATAATATAATATATAGACAATTATAAAAAAAGTAAAACTAGGTAGGGTGCAAATATGTTAAAATTGTAGTTTCCAAAACAGGGATAGAGGTTGAAATACCAATTTGAATATATAGATTTTAAAATTATAATTAGGCCAAAATTAGATGTACATTTAAGCAAGTTAAGAAGATGGTAGTTACGGGCTGGTCTAAAACGCACATTAAAAATTAAGCGACCTACCAGTTCTATGGAGTCAATATCACCTCTGACAAGGTTGTGCATAAAATAATTCCAAGCATGATTCTACGATTTACAAGAGTGGGTAAATAAAGAAATAGTAATCTACTTGAGTAAGATTATTATATTATTTAATCCCTTAAAATTCGGATTATTTTATTATTTTGATTATTTGATTATTTGATTATTTGATTATTTTGAAAATAATAATAACATAAATAATCTAGTGCATTCCATTTATTAACTGCAGGATGGTTTTCGTTTTTTGGTTGGCATAAGCTATTAAAAAAAGGGTTTTAATTTAAAACTCCCGTTAATTAACCCCAAAGACGCTTTCCGCAACAAAGGCTATTTCATAAAAATTAGCCTAAAATTTGTTCCTAAATGTATACTATTTTTGTAAACAAATTCTATGCCAATACTTTTAAAAAAATTAAAAGTTTCCTAAAAAATTAATAATTTTTCACATGTGGATGTGAAAAATTGTGTTTTTGCTAAAAATAATATATGTATAACATACAAAACAACAAAATAAAACGGCATCTGTAAAAAAAAATGTTCGGGTGAACTAGCTTCATTCGCTATAACTTCGTCAGTCTTTATTATTGTTTAACGTTGATTCCATATAAACAGTACAAACAAGTGGCTCAACGGATCCAAGCACGAGTCCTTATAGCATTGTGGGCAAACATCAAGTTCGCTAGGAAAATAGAAATTACATAATATAAAGACAATTATAAAAAAAGTAAAGCTAGGTACGGTGCAAATATGTTAAAATTGTAGTTTCCAAAACAGGTAGGTAGAGGTTGAAATACCAATTTGAATATATAGATTTTTATAATTATAACAAAGAACACGAAAGGGTTCATACAGGCCAAAATTAGATGTACATCTTAGCAAGTTAAGAGGATGGTAGTTACGGGCTGGTCTAAAACGCACATTCAAAATGAAGCGGCCTACCAGTTCTATTGAGTCAATATCACCTCTGACAAGGTTGTGCATAAATATAATTCCAAGCATGATTCTACGATTTACAAGAGTGGGTAAATAAATCAATAGTAATCTACTTGAGTAAGATTATTCTATTATTTAATCCCTTAAAATTCAAGTAGGTTCGTGGTAGTTGACCTTCGCTTAACCAACCATGTTAAGAAGGTGATATTAGCGAGGAACACAAAATGATAAGTAACAATGCGCTCAAGTGCTTAAGGCATTGCAGACAATTTAGAAATACCTCTATAATTTTGAACACTCGACTTTTTTCTGCATTAATGGAGTGGAATTATAAAAAAAAATAAAATTTGACCTGTTTAAATTTTAGGGGTAAACTGAATATAGATAAGAATCCGCCACTAAGTTATAAAATGGCTTCGGAACATTTGAAAATTTGGATTTACACCGGTTCAAATAATTCTATGTATTAGCATTGACTGTTAAGAACATTAAAATCCGATCGAGCAACCACATATTTCAAAAAATCAGATGTGTTGCCCGTCCTCTTGTACTTTTTGTAAGTGTTTGTTCTTAGGTTTTGGAGGTGTGTTGGAGGAAGACTATCAGGAAAGCATTCATTAAAAAAGTGTTTAAAACACTGTAGAGTAATTTAGTGGCTTTTTCCACATCCATGCAATTGTATAAAGTCACATTTCCTTTTAGTTTATAAAACTAACTGGGAACAAGTATCAGGGCAGGGTAGGGAAATTGTCAATTTCATTAGTGGCACTTTCCGTATCCATGCAATTGTATAAAGTCACATTTGTAGAAGTCTTTCCTGTTAGTTTAAGAAACTAACTGGGAACAAGTATCAGGGCAGGGTACGGAAATTGTCAATTCCATTGTGGTATGGTATCGGTACTCTGGGACAACTAGATCATTTCGAGATATTACGACCTCGGACGGATCCAAAACAAATACCAGATCTAATTGCCTATTTAAAAAGTTACGGATAAAGCTAATTTGTAGAAATGATAGGTCCAAGAGTCTATCAACAAGTGAATCACAAGTAGAGGACCAAAATGTATCTGGAAGACTTAAATCTCTCAAAACAATCAAATGATCCCTGTCAGAAATTAGAGATAGAATAGAATCAATAGCAGACAAATTATGTTCATAAATTACAATGTCCGAATTGGGATATAAGAACAGGTTTCAAAAATAGATAAGGCTGACTTGAAAACTTTTACACTTACTAACTAACTAACTAACTAACTAACTAAATTCTATTTCATTGGGCTAATCAGTCTGAATTATCTCCGATGTAAGACTGGAGTTAAAAGCAGCTATTGCAAAAATTAAATATTCTTAAAAACATTAAAATTATGATAAACTTAATTATTCGATAGTTCCTCTGGCAGCTATATGATATCGTTTTCCAATTTCAATAAAATTAAAAGCGTAGTTCTAAACTGTCAAATTGTTAACTAGTCAAAAAGAATTTCTAAAAAAAAATACAAAATAGAAAAATTACATATAAAAAAAAAGTTTATATATTATTGTTCTTTGGGAGCTTTATAATATAGTCGTCCGATTTTGATGAAATTTAAACCGTAATTCTGAAATATTTAACTGTTACTAAATGTCAGCAAAGTTATACTTTTTTTCATTTATTTTTTAGATTGTTCCTATGGGAGCTTTATGCTATAGTCGTCCGATCCGGCTCTTTCCTTCTTATATACTACCTGCAATAGAAAGACAACTGGGAAAGTTTCATGCAGATAGCTTAAAAACTGAGAGACTAGTTTGCGTAGAAACGGACGGACAGACGGACATGGCTAGATCGACTCTCCTAGTGATGCTGATAAAGAATATATATACTTTATATGGTCGGAGATGTCTCCTTCACTGCATTGCAAACTTCTGACTGAAATTATAATACCCTATGCATGAGTATAATGAGTTATCAGTACCAACAAAACTGCAAAACTGCAAGCGGGCACGGGGAGAGCACGCTTCGTATCCTGCATATAAGCGGGCACAGCAAAAAATAAGCCGAAAGCTCCCGACCAGTGGAACCTAACCAATGATGTCCCAACCGAAAAGTACAAAAACTACAAACTGGAATTGATTCCTGTTCGCAATTAGAAATAAAATAAACGATTGAAAAAATAGATTTTCGG